CACGCCCAGAATGTTTTAACAGTGGCCTACAAGGAGCCACCTGACCTCCTGGGCCTTCTGGAATGTTTGGGTCAAAAATGCTTACCCCGGCTGGGCAAGGTGGCTCACGAATGTCATCCCAGCACTTTGGGAGGCCGAGGAAGGTGGATCACCTGAGGTCAGGAATTCGAGACCCGGCTGACCAAAATGGTGAAACCCCATCTCTACTAAAAATACAAAAATTAGCCGGGCATGGTGGTGCATGCCCACCCAGCTACTTGGGAGGCCGAGACAGGAGAATCACCTGAACCTGAGAGGCGGAGGTTGCAGTGAGCAGAGATTGCACCACTGCACGCCAACCTGGGCAACAAGAGCAAAACTCCATCTCAAAAAAAAAAAAAAAGAAAGAAAGAAAAGAAAACAAAAGAAAAGAAAAGAGAAAGAAAGAAAGTGCTTACCCTGAAATTTCATCAAGTCTCTAGACCTAACTTCCAGTTTACAGGAAATTCAGGAGAGAGAGCAAGTTAAATGACAGTGTAAGAAAATAACAAGACAAATCCAAAATGTGGGCATTCTACTCTCCGGTCTCTTAATTGAGAAGTGAGGAAACTGGCCTGGACTCTTCAAAGAATCAGGAATTAAAAGAGACTAAGGAGGGAGAGCATTAGGAAAAATAGCTAATGCATGCTGGGCTTAATACCTAGGTGACGGGGATAGGTATAGCAAACCACCATGGCACACATTTACCTAGGTAACAAACCTTCATGTCCTGCACATGTACCCCAGAACTTTAAATTTAAATTTAAAAAAAGAGAGACTAAGGAGATAGAACAAACAGAAGCAATGGGTCAAACTTGGAAGATCACTATTTTAAAAACAAATCTGTAATCCCAGCACTTTGGGAGGCCAAGGCGGGTGTATCACCTGAGGTCAGGAAATGGAGGCCAGCCTGGCCAACGTGGCGAAGCCACGTCTCTACTAAAAATACAATAACTAGCCTGGCATGGTAGCAGGTGCCTATAATCCCAGCTACAAGGGAGGCTGAGGCACAAGAGTTGCTTGAACCCGAGAGGTGGAGATTGCAGTGAGCTGAAATCGGGC